TACCCTGGGCCTTTTGGTTATTGAGAAGAAGTTGTTTGAAGGTTTTAAGACATCTGACCCCAATGACCTTGAAAGTGGGTCAAGGTCATTCATTTGAACAAACTTGGTAGCCCTTCATCCCAGCATGCTACAGGCCCAATGTAAGTACCCTGGGCCTTTTGGTTATTGAGAAGAAGTTGTTTAAAGTAAAAAGTTGACGCCGGACAGACGGACGCCGGACGCCGGACCTTTGGGCAGGTGAGCTTAAAATGGTGAATGTTTGCAAACACAATATTAAGGCATTTTCATTGGAATATTTTTTTTATTACTGAAAGTCACAAATTTCGTTTACCTATATAACCTCAAAGTTTGTTTGCGATGAGAGGAGGGGGGGGGGGGTATACAAATAAGCATGGTTGTGCATTGCCTGTGCTGAGCTGATCATACTCCTGTATTTAAGTTTTGTAAAGTATAGATGATATCAGGACAGCTTCTATCTCTAATTGTATATCTATGTCAGTGAAAAGTTTGTCCTATCTTGTCTTTTTCTTTATTGATTTATAGAATCGCAAGACAAGGTCATGACCTTGACCCAACAGCAGCTACAAATGCTCCTCCTTGACCACTGCCATCTTTGACCAATATGATTTTCACCTGTAACAGAGGATTGATAAGGTAAGTCATCAATCAACAATTAAAAAATTGTTTAGCAAACAACATTGTGAACTATAACACATCACAACTGTCAAGTCTCTCAGTCTGGGTGTAACACATCATAACTATCAAGTCTCTCAGTCTGGGTGTAACACATCACAACTATGTAGTCTCTCAGTCTGGGTGTAACACATCATAACTGTCAAATATCTAAGTCTAGGCGTAACACATCATAACTATCAAGTCTCTCTGTCTGGGTGTAACACATCATAACAGTCAAGTCTCTCAGGCTGGGTGTAACACATCATAACTGTCAAGTCTCTCAGTCTGGGTGTAACACATCATAACTATCAAGTCTCTCTGTCTGGGTGTAACACATCATAACTATCAAGTCTCTCAGTCTGGGTGTAACACATCATAACTATCAAGTCTCTCAGTCTGGGTGTTACACATCATAACTGTCAAGTCTCTCAGTATGAGGGCAACACATCATAACTATCGAGTCTCTCAGTCTGGGTGTAACACATCACAACTGCCAAGTCTTTCAGTCTGGGTGTAACATCATAACTATCAAGTCTCTCAGTCTGGGTGTAACACATCACAACTGCCAAGTCTCTCAGTCTGGGTGTAACACATCATAACTGCCAAGTCTCTCAGTCTGGGTATAACACATCATAACTATCAAGTCTCTCAGTCTGGGTGTAACACATCATAACTATCAAGTCTCTCAGTCTGGGTGTAACACATCATAACTATCAAGTCTCTCAGTCTGGGTGTAACACATCATAACTATCAAGTCTCTCAGTCTGGGTGTAACACATCATAACTATCAAGTCTCTCAGTCTGGGTGTAACACATCATAACTATCAAGTCTCTCAGTCTGGGTGTAACACATCATAACTATCAAGTCTCTCAGTCTGGGTGTAACACATCATAACTATCAAGTCTCTCAGTCTGGGTGTAACACATCATAACTATCAAGTCTCTCAGTCTGGGTGTAACACATCATAACTATCAAGTCTCTCAGTCTGGGTGTAACACATCATAACTATCAAGTCTCTCAGTCTGGGTGTAACACATCATAACTATCAAGTCTCTCAGTCTGGGTGTAACACATCATAACTATCAAGTCTCTCAGTCTGGGTGTAACACATCATAACTATCAAGTCTCTCAGTCTGGGTGTAACACATCATAACTGTCAAGTCTCTCAGTCTGGGTGTAACACATCATAACTATCAAGTCTCTCAGTCTGGGTGTAACACATCATAACTATCAAGTCTCTCAGTCTGGGTGTAACACATCATAACTATCAAGTCTCTCAGTCTGGGTGTAACACATCATAACTATCAAGTCTCTCAGTCTGGGTGTAACACATCATAACTATCAAGTCTCTCAGTCTGGGTGTAACACATCATAACTATCAAGTCTCTCAGTCTGGGTGTAACACATCATAACTGTCAAGTCTCTCAGTCTGGGTGTAACACATCATAACTATCAAGTCTCTCAGTCTGGGTGTAACACATCATAACTATCAAGTCTCTCAGTCTGGGTGTAACACATCATAACTATCAAGTCTCTCAGTCTGGGTGTAACACATCATAACTATCAAGTCTCTCAGTCTGGGTGTAACACATCATAACTATCAAGTCTCTCAGTCTGGGTGTAACACATCATAACTATCAAGTCTCTCAGTCTGGGTGTAACACATCATAACTGTCAAGTCTCTCAGTCTGGGTGTAACACATCATAACTGTCAAGTCTCTCAGTCTGGGTGTAACACATCACAACTGTCAAGTCTCTCAGTCTGGGTGTAACACATCATAACTATCAAGTCTCTCAGTCTGGGAGTTACACATCACAACTGTCAAGTCTCTCAGTCTGGTTGTTACACATCATAACTGTCAAGTCTCTCAGTCTGGGTGTAACACAGTAACACATCATAACTATCAAGTCTCTCAGTCGTGGTGTAACACATCATAACTATCAAATATCTTAGTCTTGGTGTACCACATCATGACTGTCATGTCTCAACTATCAAGTCTCTCAGTCTGGGTGTAACACATCATACCTATCAAGTCTCTCAGTCTGGGAGTTACACATCACAACTGTCAAGTCTCTCAGTCTGGCTGTAACACATCACAACTGTCAAGTCTCTCAGTCTGGTTGTTACCCATCATAACTGTCAAGTCTCTCAGTCTGGGTATAACACATCATAACTATCAAGTCTCTGAGTCTGGGTATAACACATCATAACTATCAAGTCTCTGAGTCTGGGTATAACACATCATAACTATCAAGTCTCTCAGTCGTGGTGTAACACATCATAACTTCTGGGTGTAACACATCACAACTATCAAGTCTCTCAGGCTGCGTGTAACACATCATAACTATCAAGTCTCTCAGTCTTGGAGTTACACATCACAACTGTCAAGTCTCTCAGTCTGGTTGTTACACATCATAACTGTCAAGTCTCTCAGTCTGGCTGTAACACATCACAACTGCCAAGTCTCTCAGTCTGGTTGTTACACATCATAACTGTCAAATCTCTCAGTCTGGGTGTAACACATCACAACTACCAAGTCTCTCAGTCTGGGTGTAACACATCATAACTATCAAGTCTCTCAGTCTGGGAGTTACGCATCACAACTGTCAAGTCTCTCAGTCTGGTTGTTACCCATCATAACTGTCAAGTCTCTCAGTCTGGGTATAACACATCATAACTATCAAGTCTCTCAGTCGTGGTGTAACACATCATAACTTCTGGGTGTAACACATCACAACTATCAAGTCTCCCAGTCTGGGTGTAACACATCATAACTATCAAGTCTCTCAGTCTTGGAGTTACACATCACAACTGTCAAGTCTCTCAGTCTGGTTGTTACCCATCATAACTGTCAAGTCTCTCAGTCTGGGTGTAATACATCACAACTGTCAAATCTCTCAGTCTGGGTGTAACACATCACAACTCCCAAGTCTCTCAGTCTGGGTGTAACACATCACAATTATGTAGTCTCTCAGTCTGGGTGTAACACATCATAACTGTCATGTCTCTCAGTCTGGGTGTAACACATCATAACTATCAAGTCTCTCAGTCTGGGAGTTACGCATCACAACTGTCAAGTCTCTCAGTCTGGTTGTTACACATCATAACTGTCAAGTCTCTCAGACTGGGTGTAACACATCACAATTATGTAGTCTCTCAGTCTGGGTGTAAGACATCATAACTGTCAAGTCTCTCAGTCTGGGTATAACACATCATAACTATCAAGTCTCTCAGTCTGGGAGTTACACATCACAACTGTCAAGTCTCTCAGTCTGGGTGTTACATATCATAACTGTCAAGTCTCTCAGTCTGGGTGTTACACATCATAACTGTCAAGTCTCTCAGTCTGGGTATAACACATCATAACTATCAAGTCTCTCAGTCGTGGTGTAACACATCATAACTATCAAATATCTTAGTCTTGGTGTACCACATCATGACTGTCATGTCTCTTAGTCAAGGTGTTACACTGTGCCTGGTAACCATGGTGATATCAAGAGTTTCCAAGTAGTAATATAGCAACAGTGTTTTATCTTTGCCTCAGCAACCAGGTCTACAGAATGTTATATCATTTAAATAGCTGACAGACATGGATTTTAATCACCGAGTTTGTTGGCAACAGGTGTCAACATCTAATTAAGTTCTAAATAAATAGAATAATTTCTGTTTGAACCTCTACCTTTGTTTTTGGAACAAGTTTTTCAAATAACTCCATCATGTAACCATGGAAACGGGGATGGTGTTCGTACACCGAGCCATCAATTCCTATGGTGACTTCTAGCAGGTCAATGTGGTTTAACAGAACAGCACAAGCTGTAACAGAAAGACAATTGGAGTAAAACTATATAATGTGTGCTATATAATGATTCTGTCTGATCATCAAACCTTATCATTTTATAGGTTTGTAAAACTCACCGACTGTAAAAAATAGAGGATAATGATCATATTCTAATACCTTTAGACGCAATGTATGCCCCCTAATCATCGTTAGATGCAATGTATGTTCCCTTACTATCTGTAGATAAAATGTATACTCCTTTTATACATGTAGATACAATGTATATTCCTTGTATACATGTAGAAACAATGTATGGTCCCTACTTACCTGCAGACACAATGTATGCTCCTTAATTACCTGTAGACATAATGTATGCTCCCTACTTACCTGTAGACACAATGTATGCTCCTTAATTACCTGCAGACACAATGTATGCTCCCTTATTTCCAACAAAAACAATCTATGCTACCTAATTACCTGTAGACACAATGCATGCTCCTTAATTACCTGCAGACACAATGTATGCTCCTTAATTACCTGTAGACACAATCTATGCTACCTAATTACCTGTAGACACAATGTATGCTCCCTAATTACCTGTAGACACAATATATGCTCCCTAATTACCTGTAGACACAATGTATGCTCCCTAATGACCTGCAAACACAATGTATGCTCCCTTATTACCTGTAGACACAATGTATGCTCCCTTATTACCTGCTGACACAATATATGCTCCCTACTTACCTGGGCTACATTCGCGTATCCTGGTTTAAACGGTACGTGTGGCGCAGAAATTTTCCACGATAAATGAACACACTAGGACCGTTTTATAAGCAGAGCTAAAAATCCACAGTTTCGGAGAATAAAAAACATTGTGTCAAGAATATTATGCCCTTCTCTCACACGTCCACTCAATTACATAACGTATCTTAAAAATTACATGTGACTTGACATTGTTTAAGAAAGAAATAACGCAAATTGGCAATAGTCAGCATTTTAGTTTCGGTCAGGTACGTCTGGACCCCTCAATCTACACGTACCAAATTTTCCTGAGGTCAGCCTCGGTCCAAATCTGTACCTGTCGTTTTCTTTACAGGTTCAACCGGTTCAACCGTTTCAACCAGATACGTGAATGTAGCCCTGTAGACACAATGCATGCTCCTTAATTACCTGCAGACAACATATATGCTCCCTACTTACCTGTAGACATAATGTATGCTCCCTAATTACCTGCAGACACAATATATGCTCCCTAATTACCTGTAGACATAATGTATGCTCCCTACTTACCTGTAGACACATTGTATGCTCCCTACTTACCTGTAGACACAATGTATGCTCCTTAATTACCTGCAGACACAATGTATGCTCCACGCTGAGAGACAAGGGCACAGGCCTCCTGGACTATTGCTATGTCATCGGCCTCTGCCGCTAGGTCCAGTTTCTGTAGCACTCCACGAGTGTGACTCATCTCCCCTGGGCAGTCACTGTAAAAATTAAAAAAAAAGAAATTCATTTATTGTGAATTCAAGGAACATATGAATATTTTTTTGCATACATAAGGCATTCCTGTTACATAAACAAGAGACCCCAGGGGCCTGAATCGCACACCTGGTATTAATCTCACACTTGTAAACTTAAAAGTGGACTAATATACAGCTACAGGCAAAATATCTGTGTTCGATCCATTTGAATCTTTTAAATGATTTAAACAAATGACGCCTGTGACCTTAAAAGTTGAACAAGGACATTTAGATGAACAGAGTTTATAGCCTTCCGTCCCAGTATGCTTCTGGCCAAACATCATTTCCCTGGACCTTTTGAATATTCAGAACAAGTCATTTAAAGATTTAAACATATTCCATCCCTGTGACCTAGAATATGAGCGAAGGTCATTCATTTGAACAAACTTGGTAGCCCTTCATCCCAGTATCTAACTGGCAAAATATCATAACCCTAGGCCTCTTGGTAATTCAGAAGAAGTCCTTTATAGGTTTTAAACATATTTGATCCCTGCAACCGTGAATATATATCAAGGTCATTCATTAGAACAAACTTGGTTACCCTTTAACTCAGCATGCTACTGGCCAAATACCATCATCCTCGACCTCTTGGTTATTGAGAAGTTGTTTAAAGGTTTTAAACATACTTGACCCCTGTGACCTTGAAAATAGATGAAGGTCATTTTTTTGAACAAACTTGGTAGCCCTTCATTCCAGCATGTTACTGGCCAAATATCATTATCCTATGCCTCTTGGGTATTCAGAAGAAGTTGTTTAAAGGTTTTAAACATATTTGACCCCTGTGACCTTGAAAATGGGTGAAGGTCATTTGTTTTAACAAACTTGGTAGCCTTTCATCCCAGCATGCTCCTGGCCAAATGTCATTATCCAAAACATTTGTTTAAAGGTTTTTCATATGTTTGACCCCTGTGACCTTGAAAATGGATGAAGGTCATTTGTTTTTTTACAAACTTGGTAGCCCTTCATCCAAATGTTACTGGCCAAATATCATTATCCTATGCCTCTTGGGTATTTAGAAGAAGTTGTTTAAAGGTTTTAAACATATTTGACCCCTGTGACCTTGAAAATGGGTGAAGGTCATTTGTTTGAAAAAACTTGGTAACCCTTCATCCCAGCATGTTATTGGCCAAATATCATCACCCTAGGCCTCTTGGTTATTCAGAAGAAGTTGTTCAAAGATTTTAACATATTTGACCCCTGTGACCTTGAAAATAAATGAAGGTCATTCATTTGAACAAACTTGGTAGCCCTTGATACCAGCATGCAACTGGCCAAATATCATCATCCCAGGCCTTTTGGTTACTGAAAAGAAGTTGTTTAAACTAAAAAGTTGATGCCGGACAGACGAACTCATTATAACCTAGCTATATGATGAAAGGAGTGCAGAGTGAGGAATGATAAGAAGCCACGCGGAGGAAATGTGTAAACACAGTTGTGTGATATAAAATTGCCACCCTTGTTTGGTGAAATATAAATGTTTAAAATTAATATGTTGTACATCCTAATATCATTGGCACCATGTAAACACAGGTACCAGGACATCCAGAAAAGTTGTTACCAACAGAGCAACACCATACCAGCAACAGGAGAATAACAGAATCTCTCACCCCCTTGTGAGTGAGATAGGGGAATCTCAACCCCAGGAGCAGATTCTTAAGTTGTCAAACATGAGGCTTGCATTGTTGACATTACAGGCTTAATGTATGGTTCCATGTTTGCATTACTTACATGATAACATACAATTGTTTTGACTCCCACTGTCTCAAACCTAGGGTGAGACAAGGATTTCTTGCATACTAGACCCTATGGTCATGTTATTGTTCGTGACATCATTTTATGACGTTTTGGGGTCAGTCAGGGTCATTGACGTCATTAATAATTGGCATCCATGCTTCATGTGCAAATGAGAAATGTGTGGACAGTTTACAACTTTACTAGAAGAGCAGCTGTTTTTACGGGTTGTAGGTAATAAGCAAGAAATAGAACCCATCCCTGATGTGAGGTATGGATAAGGTCATTCAAACCCAAGGGATAAAACATTGAGCAGGAGACCCGAGGCTATGCCGAAGGTCTTCTGCTCAATATTTTAACCTGAGGGTATTTTAATATCACACTGAGAAAAGTGTGGATACACCTATCGTGGGTAAGAGGAGACGGGTCCTACCTCTCCACCTCTGTCACATAGGAGGTTGGCCAGCTTCCTTTGCACATGAGCTTGGGTGACTCCTGACCTTTAAACAGTAAGCCTTCTCTGGTCAGTTTCACCAACACCAGGCGGACAAGTTCACCAAGGTAGAATCCACCAAACAGTTTCTCAAACCTACAATAGCAGCAGTTCCTCCTAATCAAACAACGTTCAGACACATCATGTGTGGTGAGACACATGCAAGCATTGTATAGTCAGATTTATATAGGTGATACAGGAGTTGACATTACTATAACATGAAACTAAAATACTCCTTCAACAGACTTTTGTTCCATTGTAGAAGTTCAAAGACAAGCACAACTATATGGGTCAAGGTGACAATCGAATACTGATACCCCAGGTATAATGGGAGACGGACAAAGTCTATTGTGAGAAATATGGTAACGGTTCTTTTCCATAAAAATCATCAGACATGAATTATGGTTTGTATAAAGATGTAATGTTGATTAATTGTTTGAGTGAAATCACAAACCACAAATATTTATTTGCTCAAAAAGCTTATGATATCACTTGTCATGAGTCATGACAATTCCCACAGAGGAAACGTCACAGACATACTTCCCAGAAAGTGAAACTCGAGATTTGCCTAAGTGTTTTTGTTTTTGCATATGATTTAAATCACGATGAACAGCAACTACACACAATAACTACATCAATGAACTACACACAATAACTACATCCATGAACTACACACAATAACTACATCCATGAACTACATCAATGAACTATACACAATAACTACATCAATGAACTACACACAATAACTACATCAATGAACTACCATGAAGTGGGAAATGTAAGTATGACCTTTAAGTGAGACATAGGGCATTACAGTTGTACTAGTATACCAACGTGTAAGAGTTGACATGGTTAGAATTCAGGTCCAGTTCCTTGTCGAATTCTGTCTTGAAGAAATTTAAACAGCCATTATCTCCAAACGCTCCCCATTCACAATTCACCAGAATCTACAAAAACGGATCAGATATCGTCAGCAAGTATTACATAGCCCAAACATTTTTATGTTGAGGATGATTTTTCATTCAATAATACATTTGTACAGAGCATTCAATGGACAGTGTGGAAAAAACAAACTAGCTAATATCATGTTTTACCTTTAATGTAACTTCATGTATGTATACCAGTGGAAAAAACAACCGGTGCATAAGCAAAACAATGTCAGATGACTTTTGCTTTTACCGGTATGCTGCCTAGACCATCACAAAACCTCTGATCAGGGGATGATATTCCATGATATTTGTCCTGAAAAATGCTTTCTAACTTAATGGTGCACTCTGGAGCGGCCTCTTTTACTGAGAAAGTCCTCTAGTAAAGCCTCATTGTAGGATGGGGCAATTAGCTGAATGAATGTGCCATTCCTACAGGCGGTTTCTCACAGATCGTGGACTGATTCTCCGTACTCCAGGAATGCATCTAGCTGTCAAAGCTACAGTTTGGAAGTGGTTCCGCAAGTGTATAACCTGGATGAAATTGTCCTGCCGTAATGACATCACCTGTAGATGTCCTGGCCTGGGGCTGTCTCTGTGTTACCCGACAGCTGGAAACATCTCCATTAGGCGTGTTCACACCTAAATCCCTAACAACAACATTACGTGCAACACCAGCCTGAATCATTCCAACACCAGCCTGAATCATTCCAACTACTGGGTTGTGGACATAAGTCGGAGCTTACCAAACACGTTCACCAGGAATACATCTCTGTTTCTGTTTGCCTTGGACGTAACGATTTTACACAACACTAACAAAGTGAGTAAAGATAGTCAACCTTATTTTGGTACCAGCCAAAAGAAATTTGGCATGTGCACAAAATGCATTTAGCCGTGAAGGTTATTAAGGGGTGTGCACATTTGTGCTAAGTTTCATGTTGAAAAATTGTTACTATGTATGCACAGTTTCATTTTTTTATTAGTTTATTATAAATAATAAATAGCATGTCACTTTATGTAACATAATATTCAACTTCACAGAACCTTCTTTTTATATAATTTCATTTCACACTATCCTAATTCACATAGCTCTACTTCAGCCATGTTGATAACTGACCTGATCTGATGTTTTTTCGGCTGCTTCCAATTTGTTAAAGTTTTTGGCTTGTTCAACAAAACAGGCATTTGATCCAGAACCTTGGAAAATAACATTGTATACATGTCAATGTTGGAACTATAAATGATCATAGTACAAAGGCCAATAACCTGTGTAATTCTAGGTTAGAACTCGATGTGACTCCAGAACGTGCTCTATCTCCCACAAATCTATACTTAAAGCTATTATTTGAAATAACTGTCTTCCCTGCTATGAGGAGTTTTTAATGAGGGGATAGGAATTTCAAGTTTCCAAACACAACGTTTGCCAAGTGTTTGGAATAAGATTCATCAGTTTGGTATGATAAATTAAGGGGCAGAATTGGTAAAATCCCCTGCCTGCCTGCAGTATTAGAGGGCAATTGGGCGAAATGTCTGACTTTTGACAGGGGACTTTACTGATTTAGCATAATGTGGCTTAGTGATTTGTTTTCAGCGACTAAGAGTCGAGACACCAGTCATTTACGCTCTTTGCTTGACAAAGGAAACAGACGTTTTCGAAAGTTTGCAAAATAAGTTCATATCCTGTTTGTGTTCAAAACCAACTTAGTCTTTGGTTGCTGAATGTTTGGCAATTCATAGCACAACCTACAGGTGAGCATCATCTAACACAAACATAGCTGTTCTTAGTGAGTACACAACCTACAGGTGAGCATCATCTAACACAAACATAGCTGTTCTTAGTGAGTACACAACCTACAGGTGAGCATCATCTAACACAAACATAGCTGTTCTTAGTGAGTACACAACCTACAGGTGAGCATCATCTAACACAAACATAGCTGTTCTTAGTGAGTACACAACCTACAGGTGAGCATCATCTAACACAAACATAGCTGTTCTTAGTGAGTACACAACCTACAGGTGAGCATCATCTAACACAAACATAGCTGTTCTTAGTGAGTACACAACCTACAGGTGAGCATCATCTAACACAAACATAGCTGTTCTTAGTGAGTACACAACCTACAGGTGAGCATCATCTAACACAAACATAGCTGTTCTTAGTGAGTACACAACCTACAGGTGAGCATCATCTAACACAAACATAGCTGTTCTTAGTGAGTACACAACCTACAGGTGAGCATCATCTAACACAAACATAGCTGTTCTTAGTGAGTACACAACCTACAGGTGAGCATCATCTAACACAAACATAGCTGTTCTTAGTGAGTACACAACCTACAGGTGAGCATCATCTAACACAAACATAGCTGTTCTTAGTGAGTACACAACCTACAGGTGAGCATCATCTAACACAAACATAGCTGTTCTTAGTGAGTACACAACCTACAGGTGAGCATCATCTAACACAAACATAGCTGTTCTTAGTGAGTACACAACCTACAGGTGAGCATCATCTAACACAAACATAGCTGTTCTTAGTGAGTACACAACCTACAGGTGAGCATCATCTAACACAAACATAGCTGTTCTTAGTGAGTACACAACCTACAGGTGAGCATCATCTAACACAAACATAGCTGTTCTTAGTGAGTACACAACCTACAGGTGAGCATCATCTAACACAAACATAGCTGTTCTTAGTGAGTACACAACCTACAGGTGAGCATCATCTAACACAAACATAGCTGTTCTTAGTGAGTACACAACCTACAGGTGAGCATCATCTAACACAAACATAGCTGTTCTTAGTGAGTACACAACCTACAGGTGAGCATCATCTAACACAAACATAGCTGTTCTTAGTGAGTACACAACCTACAGGTGAGCATCATCTAACACAAACATAGCTGTTCTTAGTGAGTACACAACCTACAGGTGAGCATCATCTAACACAAACATAGCTGTTCTTAGTGAGTACACAACCTACAGGTGAGCATCATCTAACACAAACATAGCTGTTCTTAGTGAGTACACAACCTACAGGTGAGCATCATCTAACACAAACATAGCTGTTCTTAGTGAGTACACAACCTACAGGTGAGCATCATCTAACACAAACATAGCTGTTCTTAGTGAGTACACAACCTACAGGTGAGCATCATCTAACACAAACATAGCTGTTCTTAGTGAGTACACAACCTACAGGTGAGCATCATCTAACACAAACATAGCTGTTCTTAGTGAGTACACAACCTACAGGTGAGCATCATCTAACACAAACATAGCTGTTCTTAGTGAGTACACAACCGACAGGTGAGCATCATCTAACACACACATACCTGTTCTTAGTGAGTACACAACATACAGGTGAGCATCCTCTAACACAAACATAGCTGTTCTTAGTGAGTACACAACCGACAGGTGAGCATCATCTAACACAAACATAGCTGTTCTTAGTAAGTACACAACATACAGGAGGTGAGCATCATCTAACACAAACATAGCTGTTCTTAGTGAGTACACAACATACAGTTGCATCATCTAACACAAACATACCTGTTCTTAGTGAGTACACAACATACAGGTGAGCATCATCTAACACAAACATACCTGTTCTTAGTGAGTACACAACCTACAGGTGAGCATCATCTAACACAAACATAGCTGTTTTAAGTGAGTACACAACCTACAGGTGAGCATCATCAAACACAAACATAGCTGTTCTTAGTGAGTACACAACATACAAGTGAGCATCGTCTAACACAAACATAGCTGTTCTTAGTGAGTACCCAACATACAGGAGGTGAGCATCATCTAACACAAACATAGCTGTTCTTAGTGAGTCCACAACCTACAGGTGAGCATCATCTAACACAAACATAGTTGTTCTTAGTGAGTACACAACCTACAGGTGAGCATGATCTAACACAAACATAGTTGTTCTTAGTGAGTACACAACCTACAGGAAAGCATCATCTAACACAAACATAGCTGTTCTTATTGAGTACACAACATACAGGTGAGCATCATCTAACACAAACATAGTTGTTCTTAGTGAGTACACAACCTACAGGTAAGCATCATCTAACACAAACATAGCTGTTCTTAGTGAGTACACAACATACAGGTGAGCATCATCTAACACAAACATAGTTGTTCTTAGTGAGTACACAACATACGGGTGAGCATCATCTAACACAAACATAGCTGTTCTTATTGAGTACACAACATACAGGTGAGCATCATCTAACACAAACATAGCTGTTCTTAGTGAGTACACAACATACAAGTGAGCATCACTTAAACAACCCATATCTATTGCATTACTTTAAATTAAAATGTTTTGAAGGAATAATAGAAGTTCACCACAAAAACCTTTGGGATAAACATTAAAGACATACACAATAATTACCTATGATGAGGCCAATGCGACAGTTCCTATCCAGATAGTTGCCAGCCATCAGTGTTCCTGTAGTGTCGCTGATCCGGGCCACCACATCAACTGGTATGCACAGGCCCTGTGAACAGAATACAATACAATACAAAAGGTCCAATGGACTTTGAACAGAATATAATACAATACAAAATGTCCAACGGGCTGTGAACAGTATCCAGTACAGTACAAGAGGTCCAATGGGCTGTAAACAGTATACAGTATAGTACAAGAGGTCCAATGGGCTGTAAACAGTATACAGTACAGTACAAGAGGTCCAATGGGCTATAAACAGTATACAGTACAGTCCAAGAGGTCCAATGGGCTGTTAACAGTATACAGTGCAGTACAAGAGGTTCAATGGGCTGTGCACAGTATACAATATAGTACAAGAGGCCCATAGGGCTGTGAACAGTATACAGTACAGTACAAGAGGTCCAATGGGCTGTAAACAGTATACAGTACAGTACAAGAGGTCCAAAGCGCTGTAAACAGTATACAATACAGTACAAGAGGCCCATAGGGCTGTGAACAGTATACATTACAGTACAAGAGGTCCAATGGGTATGTAAGGCCCACCTACTACTCAATGATATTGTAAAACACATCTCACAACTGGTCAAGTTCCTTTATACTTGATAGTGTGTTATCCAGTAAGATACAAATGTCACTACTCTACACCTTTAAGACCTTTCAACACTTTGTCTCACTTTCACCCCTGTAGTGAAGGTTGTTGGGTCAATTTTGTTTATCACAATCCAAACAGTTGAACCAGTTGGACAAGAGTTTTTCGTTTATGAAATAAGGTCGGACCTAGTAATCTGATGCTGCTTTTAGACATGCCTTAACAAAGCCTTGCAAGCCCGCATTAACATTTGCCCTAGGTCTATGTCATTTATTCAGACAAAATTGATAACGTTTATACCAGCAAGCTACAGCCTACAGGAAAACTTCAATCAGCCTGTAATTGACTGAAAAAAACAATACTCTAGATCTCCTTGTTATTTAGAATATCAACATTTTAAAACCTGTGACTCGTATGAACTTAAATGAGGGTAAGGTATTTCATTTGAAAATCCAAGTATGCTAAAGGCAAAATATTCTGACGATAAACCTCTTCTTTACTCATTAATTGTAAGTTTGGAACATAAGTGAAGGCAATTTTTATTTTTTGAACTTTGTTTCAGACAATCTCTGCAAGCAACTGATGAAAAATCATGACTTTAGGCATTTTTTGAACTTCAAAAGCAGTCAATTGAGACCTTTGACAAACTCGAACCCTTCATCTTTGAATATGGGTCCAGTTCTTTTCCTTTCACAAACTATATAGTGTTCAATGTCCACAAGCTACTGGCAATATATTGTGACTCTAAACCATTCCCTTCTTCAAAATAAGTTGTTTGAGTAACCTGCGGTAATCATAATCCCCTCCTCTTTATTGCTGCTTCAAACATGGTGACAGGATCCTCCCCAGGGCCTGTGGTACACTTACCCCCCTCCTCTTTATGGCCATCTCTAACATGGTGACAGGATCCTCCCCAGGGCCTGTGGTACATTTACCCCCCTCCTCTTTATGGCCGCCTCTAACATGGGGACAGGATCCACCCCAGGGCCTGTGGTACGCTAACCCCCTCCCTCTTTAAATTTTATGGACGCCTCTAACATGGTGACAGGATCCTCCCCAGGACCTGTGGTACACTAACCCCCTTCCTCTTTAAATTTTATGGACGCCTCTAACATGGTGACAGGATCCTCCCCAGGTCCTGTGGTACCCTTACCCCCTTCCTCTTTATGGCCGCCTCTAACATGGTGACAGGATCCTCCCGAGGGCCTGTGGTACACTTACCCCCCTCCTCTTTATGGACGCATCAAACATCGTGACAGGATCCTCCCCAGGGCCTGTGGTACACTTACCGCCCTCCTCTTTATGGCCGCCTCTAACATGGTGACAGGATCCACCCCAGGGCCTGTGGTACACTAACCCCCTTCCTCTTTAAATTTTATGGACGCCTCTAACATGGTGACAGGATCCTCCCCAGGGCCTGTGGTACACTCAACCCCCTCCTCTTTATGGATGCCTCTAACATGGTGACAGGATCCTACCCAGGGCCTGTGGTACACTTACCCCCCTTCCACTTTATGGCCGCCTCTAACATGGTGACAGGATCCACCCTAGGGCCTGTGGTACACTTACCCCCTTTCACTTTATGGACGCCTCTAACATGGTGACAGGATCCTCCCCAGGGGCTGTGGTACACTTACCCACTTCCTCTTTATGGCCGCCTCTAACATCGTGACAGGATATTCCCCAGGGCCGGTGGTACACGTACCCCCTTCCACTTTATGGACGCCTCTAACATGGTGACAGGATCCTCCCCAGGGGCTGTGGTACACTTACCCACTTCCTCTTTATAGCCGCCTCTAACATCGTGACAGGATATTCCCCAGGGCCGGTGGTACAGGTACCCCCTTCCACTTTATGGACGCCTCTAACATGGTGACAGGAGCCTCCCCAGGGCCTGTGGTACACTTACCCCCTTACTCTTTATGGCCGCCTCTAACATCGTGACAGGATCCTCCCCAGGGCCTGTGGTACACTTACCCCCCCCATCCTCTTTATGGCCGCCTCAAACATGGTGACAGGATCCTCCCCAGGACCTGTGGTACACTTACCCCCTTCCTCTTTATGGACGCCTCTAACATGTTGACAGGATCCTCCCCAGGGCCTTTGATACACTTCCCCCCCCCCCATCCTCTTTATGGCCGCCTTAAACATGGGGACAGGATCCTCCCCAGGGCCTGTGGTACACTCACCCCCCTCCTCTTTATGGATGCCTCTAACATCGTGCCAGGATCCACCCCAGGGCCTGTGGTACACCTACACCCCTCCTCTTTATGGTCGCCTCTAACATAGTGACAGGATCCACCCCAGGGCCTGTGGTACACTTACCCCCCTCCTCTTTATGGCCGCCTTAAACATGGTGACAGGATCCTCCCCAGGGCCTGTGGTACACTTACACCCTTCCATTTTAAGGCCGCCTCTAACATTGTGACAGGATCCTCCCCAGGGCCTGTGGTACACTCACCCCCCTCCTCTTTATGGATGCCTCTAACATCGTGACAGGATCCACCCCAGGGCCTGTGGTACACTTACCCCCCCTCCTCTTTATGGCCGCCTCAAACATGGTGACAGGATCCTCCCCAGGGCCTGTGGTACACTTACCCCCCCTCCTCTTTATGGTCACCTCAAACAACTTGACAGGATCCTCCCCAGGGCCTGTGGTACACTTACCCCCCCTCCTCTTTATGGCCGCCTCAAACATCGTGACAGGATCCTCCCCAGGGCCTGTGGTACACTTACCCCCCCTTTCACTTTATGGACGCCTCTAACATGGTGACAGGATCCTCCCCAGGGCCTGTGGTACACTTACCCCCTTCCTCTTTATGGCCGCCTCTAACATGGTGACAGGATCCTCCCCAGGGCCTGTGGTACACTTACCCCC